AGAGATATTAGTTCATTGTATGCATGTAAGGGGGGAAATATAGAGGTTAGAAATGCAGATTAAAATAGCATGGATGAGTAATATGCTTTCATGAACGATCGGGTGTGGGGTGGGGGGGATAATAATTTACAGGAATGGTCATTGTACGTTCATTGTGCGTTATCTAGTAGTAACAGCTACTAGAAGTAGTTACTACTTCCTACTATTACTATTACAACTACCAATTACTACTTACTATTACAACCACCAATTACTACTTACTATTACTACCACTTCCCCTTCTACTGTTACTACTACAACTGCATACTACTAATAATACTTACCACCACTACTATTACTAATGCTACTATTATTTGCTATTAACGAAAGAATCGAGAAAAAAAATGAAAACTGTCTCCTTTGCTGCACCTTCTGCAGCTGTTCCTCCGTCAGGTCAGTTCCGAGGAACTGGTTCAGTTTCCTCAGCTCCGCCTTGGGGTCCGCCTTCATGTCCTCGTAGAAGAGGAAGTGCATGTTGGGGTGGTCCCTCCGGGGCCAGGCCTCGCGCAGGTGCTCCCAGTAGGGCCCGTAGATCACTGTAATATAGAGGTTTCTGTTAGTTCTCTCTCTCTCTCTCTCTCTCTCTCTCTCTCTCTCTCTCTCTCTCTCTCTCTCTCTCTCTCTCTCTCTCTCTCTCTCTCTCTCTCCAGGTGCTCCCAGAAAGGTCCGTAGATCACTGTATATAAATCTGTTAGTCTCTCTCTCTCTCTTCTCTCTCTCTCTCTCTCTCTCTCTCTCTCTCTCTCTCTCTCTCTCTCTCTCTCTCTCTCCTCTCTCTCTCTCTCTCTTTCTCTCTCTCTCGCTCTCTCTCTCTCTCTTCTTCCAGGTGCTCCCAGTAAGGTCCGTAGATCACTGTAATATAAATGTTTCTGTAGCTCTCTCTTCTCTCTCTCTCTCTCTCTCTCTCTCTCTCTCTCTCTCTCTCTCTCTCTCTCTCTCTCTCTCTTTTCCCTCTCCTCTCTCTCTCTCTCTCTCTCTCTCTCTCTCTCTCTCTCTCTCTCTCTCTCTCTCTCTCTCTCTCTCTCTCTCTCTCTCTCTCTCTCTCTCTCTCTCTCTCTCCAGGTGCTCCCAGTAAGGCCCGTAGATCACTGTAATCATAGCAAAAAAAAAGAAAAGAAACGGCAATAAGAATAAGTGTGTGTGTGTGTGTGTGTGTGTGTGTGTGTGTGTGTGTGTTGTGTGTGTGTGTGCGTGCGTGGTGTTTTTTTTTAACAAAGTAGGTGCAAGGTAGGGGTATATCCGGTGTTGGTTTTGGCTAAGCTGAGTTCTTTTCTGCCAAAATCTAATGCCTTGCCCTCTGGTGTTGTTGTTGTTGTGTGTGTGTGTGTGTGTGTGCGTGTGTGCGTGCATGTGACATAATACACATAATAACCCATTCATTTTCATTTTTTATCAACAAACTATCCAACTGAAAGAATTCACAACGATCAGGTTTTTCTGCAACACAAGACGCAGAAAAATTAGCATAACTCACGCTGGTCATTAACAAAGTAATCCACATATTGTTCCAAGGAGCCCACGTAGCTCATACTCTTCATCAGCCTGCTGTGGTGAAGGAAGGACAAGACCACGTCCTTGGGGTTCCTTGCCACGTAGATCACCTAAGGAGAGAACAGGGAGACAATAAGCAAACTTTTTTCACTTTTTTACTTTTTTTTTCCTTTCTTTCTTTCTTTACACGAGGGCGCGGGTATGTGTTTAGGTCGCAGAATAGAAAACGGGAATTAGGAGAGAAAACGGGAATTAGGAATGAAAACGAGTAAGGGGTGACTTGTTTTTCTTTCCATTTCCCAAACTTTCCCTAATTTCACATTTCCTCTTGTTTATGCAAATTTAAAGTAAGATTATATATACAGAATTATAAGCATCAGCTTATGACCCATTTCAATAGCCTTTATTTCCCTAAATTGTTATATATTTACGTCATTAGCTATCCATACGTAATGGAGCGAAATACTGCAGATTGAGGTCGTTATGGGAACAGCATGATTAAAATTCTTTTTTTTTTTCATTTTTTCTTTTTTTTTTCTTTTTGTTTCCGCTTCCATGTCTATGTAGTAACTGTATTCAACGATTCCTTGAGTCAGATAACAAATCACTTGCTAAATATGGGTGTAAACAACGGACATTAGAGTATAATGCAGTGTGAAGGCAGAATATACATAGGTCTTTAATCTTTTTTTTTCTGTAAGAAGAAATAGATCAAGAGACTCACCAGTAACGTGTGTGTGAAAGCAAAATAGATAATGAGAATAACGCTGGGTTTATTAAATATATATAACTCGATGGACGTGTTTTTATTGTTGTTTTTTTTAGCTCTTTTCTGCCAAAAAAATAATGCGTTATCCTGCGTGTATGTATGTGTGTGTGTGTGTGTGTTTTGCCGTGGATGTTTGTTTATCGATCTGTGTATCTTTTTGCGTTACCCTGTGTGTGTGTCTGTGTATGTCAGTGTGTGTGTGTGTGTGTGTGTGTGTGTCTTGCCGTATATATTTGTTATCGATATGTGTATATTTATGTCATTATCAGTCTTCTTATCATTACACTTAGCATCATCGCTATTAGTAATAGTAGTTATAGTATCATTATAATCAACATTATGATTACCACCGTCATCATTATTATCACCATCATCATTATCATTATTATCATTATCATTATAGTCATCACCACATTCGTAGCAATAATAGTAATAAAAAAGAAGAATAATCAAAATATTACATAAGTAAACAAATTCATTGATGTCTGTCAGGCTGACATCACGCAAAAACAGGCCTACACAGACTGACCTTGGCCGTATCGAGGAGGTCAGGGGTCATGAGAGAGAAGGGCAGGTGGGTCTTGATTGTCCGAGGGTCAGGGAGGTTAGCGGTCATCTGAAGCGCCAGGCCTTCGTCAGGATCGGGGTGTGGCACAATATCCTTAACCATCTCCAGGAGTTCGTTATTGTGTACGTCCTTCCCCATGTGAGTTAGCATGTCAGAGCTGCGAGGAGGATTGGGACAACAAAGGTGCGTTTTTATAATAGCCAGTGGGCTGCGATGATAGCCAGGATTGGGACAACAAAGGTGCCTATTTGGGTTGATTGGGACAACAAAGGTGCGTTTTTATAATAGCCATTTGGGGATGATTGGGACAACAAAGGAGCGTTTTTATAATAGCCATTTGGGGTTGATTGGGACAACAAAGGTGCGTTTTTATAATAGCTATTGGGGTTGATTGGGACAACAAAGGTGCGTGTTTATAATAGCCATTGGGGGTGATTGGGACAACAAAAGTGCGTTTTTATAATAGCCATTGGGGTTGATTGGGACAACAAAGGTGCGTTTTTATAATAGCCATTGGGGTGATTGGGACAACAAAGGTGCCCACACAAATAATAGCCATTGGGTTGATTGGGACAACAAGGTGCGTTTTTATAATAGCCATTTTGATTATTTATAGCCATTGGGGTTGATTGGGACAACAAAGTGCATAGCCATTGGGGTTGATTGGGACAACAAAGGTGCGTTTTTATAATAGCCATTGGGGTTGATTGGGACAACAAAGGACCGTTTTTATGATAGCCATTGGGGTGATTGGGACAAAGGTGCGTTTTTATAATAGCCATTGGGGTGATTGGAACAACAAAGGTGCGTTTTTATAATAGCCATTGGGGTTGATTGGGACAACAAAGGACCGTTTTTATGATAGCCATTGGGGTGATGGGACAACAAAGGCGTTTTAATAGCCATTGGGGTGATTGGGACAACAAAGGACCGTTTTTATGATAGCCATTGGGGTGATTGGGACAACAAAGGAGCGTTTTTATTTGGGGTGATTGGGACAACAAAGGCGTTTTATGATAGCCATTGGGGGGTGATTGGGACAACAAAGGAGTTTTTATAATAGCCATTGGGGTTGATTGGACAACAAAGGACCGTTTTTATGATAGCCATTAGGGTGATTGGGACAACAAAGGAGCGTTTTTTATAATAGCCATTGGGGGTGATTGGGGACAACAAAGGACCGTTTTATAATAGCTATTGGGGTGATTGGACAACAAAGGACCGTTTTTATGATAGCCATTGGGGTGATTGGGACACAAAGGAGCGTTTTTATAATAGCCATTGGGGGTGATTGGGACAACAAAGGACCGTTTTTATGATAGCCATTGGGGTGATTGGGACAACAAAGGAGCGTTTTTATAATAGCCATTGGGGGTGATTGGGACAACAAAGGACCGTTTTTATGATAGCCATTGGGGTGATTGGGGACAACAAAGGGCGTTTTTATAATAGCCATTGGGGGTGATTGGGACAAAGGACGTTTTTATGATAGCCATTTGATTGGGACAACAAAGGAGCGTTTATAATAGCCATTGGGGTGATTGGGACAACAAAGGACCGTTTTTATAATAGCCATTGGGGTTGATTGGGACAACAAAGGAGCGTTTTTATGATAGCCATTGGGGTGATTGGGACAACAAAGGACCGTTTTTATAATAGCCATTGGGGTTGATTGGGACAACAAAGGAGCGTTTTTATAATAGCCATTGGGGTGATTGGGACAACAAAGGACCATACGGTGATTGGGCGTTTTTATAATAGCCATTGGGGGTGATTGGGACAACAAAGGTGCGTTTTTATGATAGCCATTGGGGTTGATTGGGACAACAAAGGTGCGTGTTTATAATAGCCATTGGGGTTGATTGGGACAACAAAGGAGCGTTTTTATAATAGCCATTGGGATTGATTGGGACAACAAAGGAGCGTTTTTATAATAGCCATTCGGGTGATTGGGACAACAAAGGTGCGTTTTTATAATAACCATTGTGGTGATTGGGACAACAAAGGAGCGTTTTTATAATAGCCATTGGGGTGATTGGGACAACAAAGGAGCGTTTTTATAATAGCCATTTGGGGTTGATTGGGACAAAGACGCGTTTTTATAATAACCATTGGGGTGATTGGGACAACAAAGGAGCGTTTTTATAATAGCCATTGGGGGTGATTGGGACAACAAAGGACCGTTTTTATGATAGCCATTGGGGTTGATTGGGACAACAAAGGAGCGTTTTTATAATAGCCATTTGGGGTTGATTGGGACAACAAAGGAGCGTTTTTATAATAGCCATTTGGGGTTGATTGGGACAACAAAGACGCGTTTTTATGATAGCCATTGGGGTGATTGGGACAACAAAGGAGCGTTTTTTATAATAGCCATTTGGGGTTGATTGGGACAACAAAGACGCGTTTTTATAATAGCCATTGGGGTGATTGGGACAACAAAGGAGCGTTTTTATAATAGCCATTGGGGTGATTGGGACAAAAGTGCGTTTTTATAATAGCCATTGGGGTGATTGGGACAACAAAGGTGCATTTTTATAATAGCCATTGGGGTTGATTGGGACAACAAAGGAGCGTTTTTATAATAGCCATTTGGGGTTGATTGGGACAACAAAGACGCGTTTTTATAATAGCCATTCGGGTGATTGGGACAACAAAGGAGCGTTTTTATAATAGCCATTGGGGTGATTGGGACAAAAGTGCGTTTTTATAATAGCCATTGGGGGTGATTGGGACAACAAAGGTGCGTTTTTATGATAGCCATTGGGGGGTGATTGGGACAACAAAGGAGCGTTTTTATAATAGCCATTTGGGTTGATTGGGACAACTAAGGTGCGTTTTTATAATAGCCATTGGGGTGATTGGGACAACAAAGGACCGTTTTTATAATAGCCATTGGGGTTGATTGGGACAACAAAGGTGCGTTTTTATGATAGCCACAACAAAGGTGCGTTTTTATAATAGCCATTGGGTTGATTGGGACAACAAAGGTGCGTTTTTATAATAGCCATTGGATTGATTGGGATTGGGACAACAAAGGAGCGTTTTTATAATAGCCATTGGGGTTGATTGGGACAACAAAGGAGCGTTTTTATAATAGCCATTGGGGTTGATTGGGACAACAAAGGAGCGTTTTTATAATAGCCATTGGGATTGATTGGGACAACAAAGGTGCGTTTTTATGATAGCCATTGGGATTGATTGGGACAACAAAAGTGCGTTTTTATGATAGCCATTGGGGTTGATTGGGACAATAAAGGTGCGTTTTTATAATAGCCATTTGGGGATGATTGGGAGAACAAAGGTGCGTTTTTATAGTAGCCATTGGTAGCAGGAGATCCACTGATAGGACTGGTATCCTGGCGAATGTGTACGGGCCTGAATGGGTATCATATTTATAGCGATACCGATACCGCTAGATATTTACGCAAGGACTTTTTAGTGAAGTAATCGTCAAGCTTTTATTGAATGTACCATAGCCTAGGTTTCTTGATATTCATTTTGAATGTATATACCTTGAATAACTGTTGAGATTAATAGAATTTTCAAACAAGTGGCTAACGGCGTCGCATATATAATAACTACAACTTAACCTGAGGTAAGGTTAGAATAGGCGCTAAAGGTGATTTCCCATTGATATAACCATTTAGCATTTTCTTTCATGGGACTACATACGTATAGAGGGATTTATTATCACTTGGGACGCGGACAGAGAACCGAACACGTGCCGACACCTACTCGACGAAGGGCGAACGAGCTTTGACGGGAATGCTGGCCTTCGGGTGGTCCAGGTTGGGGTTGTTCCTCATGGTCCAGACGACCTCCTGCGTCCACGTCGTTCCGCACTTCGGGTACGTCATGATGAGGACGTCACTCGCACGGAACTGTTGGGATGCCGTTGTTTTATTTAGGTTTCTTAGTTTTTGTGCACATATACTCACACAACAATATATATATATATACATACATATATACTATATATTACATATATATATATATATATACATATATACATATATGTATATATATATATATATTATATATATATATATATATATATATATATATATATATATATAGGCTTTGGGCATTTTAAGTCCATAACGTGTATAAGATTACGTATATAAATTTCCATATAAAGGGACTTAGTATGTTATACCTACAAAATCAAAAAATGTAAATTTTATGTCCATAAGCACATTATCGCGTAACTCCACTATAGAGAAACACTTTACCTTCATATTATAGATCTTGTCTGCGAACTTGGTGTAGGGCGCCGGCAACACCCACCTCCCGGGCGTCAAGCGAACCAACCCCTTGCTGAACCCCCCGAAATCTCTCTGTATCTTCGCCAGTTCTTCGCCTTCCAGCTGGACGGCGACGTGACCGCTGGCGAGACGCATCGTGGGTCGACTGAGGTGGGAAGAGGTCAGCGGCGGAACCAAGGTCCTTTGTGGCGGGATTGGAATGAAGAGGGTCATAGAACTTCTGATAACTCTTGCAGGTTGATAAAAATCAGGTAAAAACTCATAGAGGGGGGTTGTGAATCGTCGGTTACAATCTTGTATAAGACTGAAAGAGCCCCAATAACCCTACGATGTCCAATGTCCAAATTTAAGTCAGACAGGAGAAA